GAGAGATTACAGAAGATCTAAACTGCCATCTTCTGTAATGTAGTCTGTGTAACTCTAACATGTTGTAAAAAGAAAGGTATGTTTGTAGCCATGTGCTGATTACACTTTAAAAAAAGGACTGTCCACGTATCTGAAACATTGGTTGTCTTAATTCTACAGCAGAATATAAGGTGCTTTAAACAATGGGGGTGTAGGATAAGCATGGGAGTCCCGGGGGGCCTGTCCGGGGGCAGGGGTGTGGATAGGGGTCGGGGCAGTCACGGGACAGAGAGACAGTGGTTGGGGTCGCGCTTAGGGTCAGGGGGTTCCAGGAGGGGAAGATCAAGGGACAAGGAGCAGGGGGGGTTGGATGGGTCGGGGGTTTTGAAGTGGGAGGAGCGGGGGTCAGGCTGTTTGGGGAGGCACAGCCTTCCCTACCTGGCCCTCCATACAGTTTTGCAACCCCCATGTGGCCCTCGGGCCAAAACGTTTGCCCATTGCTGCTCAGTATGTCTGCACAGTAAATGAAAATGGGACTTCGGCATGGATATGCCTATCTACATGCTACCTTTAGTCTAGCTAGCACAAATAACAATGAAGATGTGGGGGCACAGATTTCAGCATGGGCTAGCAACTTAAGTATGTACCCAGGGTCCCCAGTGGGCATGTACTTGGACAGATGGCAGCATGGGCTTCAGCTCAGGCTAACTCTTCAATATTATTGTTATCCATACTAGGTAGCTTGAAGCTAGCATGGGTATGCCTGCCGGTGCTACCATCACACCTTCACTTGCAATATAGGCATACAGTATTTTTTTGTTCTCATTTAATTGTTATATTAGAATTACATATTCATAATTTGTTACTAACACTTCATAGAATCGTTGAATATCAGGGTTGGAAGGGACCTCAGGAGGTCACTTAGTCCAACCCCTTCCTCAAAGCAGGACCAATCCCCAGATTTTTACCCCAGTTCCCTAAATGGCCCCCCTCAAGGATTGAACTAACAATTTAGCAGGCCAATGCCCAAACCACTGAGCTATCCCTCCCCCCACTTAATCATGCAAATTGAAAACCTGACTTCTACAAACAGGCTAAACATATTTAAGCATCCAAGCCCAATTTAATTATCTGCACATACCAAACAAACAACAGGTTACCTCAGCCAGTCCTCAGACATAAAAGACTGGCATACAAACATCCTTATTATAAATCTGTTTCTAACCTAAGAAAAATAGCAAATACTTCTCCTTGGCACTCACTCTGATATTCATTTGGCAACGTTCTTCACTGTTATGAATTGAGTATAGTTATTGGCTCTTGTTAAGAGTCACTACCATCACTACTTATCCCAGTATTTCTGCCTCTACAAAGAGAAGTTATGTTAAAACAAGTTTGCTTAACACAAGGTACAGTAAATATTTTTTGAGAGTAAAATCTTACTAGTGCAACCATCTGATGCCATGGGATGTCTATTTTCCATTAGATCTGTAATTCCTAGTATTGAGCTGTCTAGAAATAATTACTTTGGCAGGTTATAGTTTGTAGTCTAGAAACCAGTTAATTTAAGACACCCATCAAATTTTTGTCTTTGCTCTTCCAGGCACTCAAGCCTGTCCCTTGCCACAGATTTCCCCCATTTATAGCTGCAAGAGGAACATGGCATAAACACAGTAATGTACAGAAACAAACGAGTTCAGAATGTGGCCATCTGTCTAGATTTTGTCAATTCTTAGCTAATTTTAAACAACTTTCTTTTGTAAGATATCCTAGTTAACAAAAGTAAAGAACAAGATGTGTATCAGGTTATTTGTATGCATTTTAGTCCCGTACTCCCATCTTTAATTTAAAAATTAATCTTACCTGTATTTGCTTTTGAAAATTTGCATTTTCTAAAATTATAAACATTCAGTATTTTAATATCACAAATGTTTTAGTCACTGGATGAAGCTTATCACTTGCTCACAATATTATACACCTCTACTCCAATATAACGCGACCCAATATAACATGAGTTCAGATATAACGCTGTAAAGCAGCGCTCTGGGTGGGTGGGTGGGGGGGAGGTGTTGACGCTCCAGGGGATCAAAGCAAGTTCGATATAACGCGGTTTCACCTATAACGTGGTAAGATTTTTTTGGCTCCCGAGGAGAGCGTTATATCGGGGTAGAGGTGTACATTTTCTATCAAACACTGCATCAAGGTAACAAATTCCATTTTAAACATTTCAATTAAAAGAAAAGTACTATGGCAGAGTTTAGAGTACATTTGGATCTCGAAATAAATTTAATTACTACAAATGTGTGTTTTTCAGTTTTTCCTGGACTTGTTATCCAGTTTACAGATAGACATATCTGGTCCCATTTACAGTCCTCATTTGCAAGATTATTTTTTTCAAGAGTGTGTTTGTACAAGCAAAATTTTATTTGCTCCATGTCCTTTATATGTAAAGTAGAAATTTCAGCATTTAAACTTAATGAAGTTAAATGCTCTGCTTGAAAGATGAAAGGCACATATCCAATACTATTACACTGAACTGAAAAAAAAAAAGATTTGTAATTCCCAGTCATCTTCTATATCAAAACAATGCTAAAAAACTTGCTTCACTGTAGCTTCCTTCCCCAATCTAATACTTTTAAATAGTACTGCCAAAGTGTTTAATGGATAACTACTTTTAAACTATGGATGTGTTATTAGTTTACTAAATTAAGTTTCATGTCTTGTATGAGAATACAACTTTTATTAATTCTTTAAACATGCTCAGAATCCTAAATATTGTACTTTCATCCAATTAAAAAAACTTTTATTATTGTAAAATTAGGAGAGATTACAGAAGATCTAAACTGCCATCTTCTGTAATGTAGTCTGTGTAACTCTAACATGTTGTAAAAAGAAAGGTATGTTTGTAGCCATGTGCTGATTACACTTTAAAAAAAGGACTGTCCACGTATCTGAAACATTGGTTGTCTTAATTCTACAGCAGAATATAAGGTGCTTTAAACAATACATAGAATCAACAGTCTTTGTGCTATAGGTCTGTCTCATCTTACGCTGGGGTTACGTTCCGCGGTCAGCGCGTAAAGCGAAAACAGCGTATACTCAAAATTACATTGAGTTCAATGGCGGGCGGAATCACCCGCACTACAGGTACAGTATTAAAGTTGTTATTTTTCTCTTTTTGTTTTGTTTTTGCCGACCGCGTAAAGCTGAAATCGCGCTTGTTAAATGCATGTAAGATGCGACAAACCTGTATTATATTCTGCATTCAGATTACTCCCAAGAAGCTATTTTCAGTTACAGCAATTCTATTATAAAATGCTGATGGGACCAGACTTGTACATTGTTCAATTATACAATATGTAAAAATCAATTACTGGGTGCTCTGTTTTCAGTTACTCTTTTTTCAGCTGTGAACATCTATACAGTTACTGTGATCGTGTTTTTTTTTTAAATAAAAAAGGACTTCCATAATAGAGAAAGCTTTCAAACATGTCAATAAAATATGCCTTTATTTACTTTTTTCCTAGATAACACTTTTTTGAGAGAGACTTTTCTATTCCCATTGCTGTCCATCTTCTCTTATTTATTCCTGCAGTTTTAAATCACGACAGTGAATTTGGGACAATCACAAACAATGGCAATGAAACACATGAAGTTGGGCTTGCAGGAGGAGCTCTTTTTAAAAAACACATCTTTAGCAACAGCACAGGAAAAAGCGGGCAAAACAGTGTGGGCGGGGAAAAAATTGGTAACTGGAAAAAATAGCAATGCATTAAATATAGAAGTGTTAAAATTCTAAAGGATAGATTTGAACAGTTCTATTGGCATTCTATTGGTCTTTTTACAGCGGATATGCAAACTTCAGAACAGAATGTCATATGTGAAGTGATAAAATAGTAGATATGAAGTACATAGAATCCCTCATACATTAACAAATGTTACCAAAATTTTCATGGTTCAGATTAATGCAGATATGTCTTAGATGGGCATTTGGTTGAACTGAAACTACTATTATTAATGCTTTGCCAATATTGATAATTGCTGGGTATGACATTCAGTGTTGGTGTCCATCCATTCAGTATTGGTGTAATTGGCTGGCTTTCCAAAGCACGCCAATATGCAATTCCAGACATGGAAAGCTCACACAAGACCCCATTGAGCAAATTAATAATGAAGACCATTAAACAGCATATTTTTGGAGAAAGCGCTCAAATGCATCATAAATGGCTTGCCTAAAAGAGAGAATATGGAGAGAAAGAATTACAGGCTACTAGTATAATTTGGGAAGGGGTAGATGCAGGCTGCTTCTCCCCTCCCCCCCCTTTGTAAAAATAGGGCCTTAGAAGTGCTTGGTACACCTGAGGAGGGTGAGAGCTCTTAATTTCCCTGATCCACCACCATTATGCCCGTCCAACCCCAAGCTCTAATCTGCACCAGTTGCCAAATGTCCCAATGACCCCCTACAACAACTGGGAATCTGCCTGGCATAGGGAGCCAAACCAGACCCCACATGGTAGGAGAATGTGGTGTGGTAGCTTCTATGACAGCTAAAGGATCCACACACACCAGACAAGATTTTCCAAAAACTGGATTTAGGGCTTCTTTGCACCAGTACAAAGCAGTTGAAATGAGGTACAGGTTTAGAGCCATAAACCTTCTTATTTTTGGAAGGTTAACATTTACTTGTTATGAGGCTGAATGACTCCAGGGGGATTAAAAATGGCATAATGCACATTTCAAGGATACTGGTTCAAACGCAGCAAAGGGCAGTAAGTGTCAGAATCCTCACCAAGAGCTGTTCAGTTATCTATGTGAAATAAACAAGTGGTCTAAAACCAGCATGCACAGGGTTCCACATTAGTAAATCTATTAACATAAATGGCAATCTGACTAGCCAAGGATTAAATATGTAAATAGGCTTAACTCAAAAGTTTAAGTCAGGCAAAAATAACATTTTAAATAACAAGAGTTCCCAAGACTTCCCAAATGTGAGGAATTTCACTTAGTCAGCTAGAAATACAAGATATTTGTGTAAAATCTGAATTCCTCAAAAGCAAAGGAGTTGGTAAACAAATATTAATGAGGCCCTACATTGCAATTGCTTGAAGTATGGGAACTGGAATGTCTCAGAGAAATCAGGGAAGTGGTCCACAAGTCTGAGACAAAACACTAAGAGAGATATGGTGGGTGAGATAATATCTTTTATTGGACCAACTTCTGTTGATGAAAGAGAAGCTTTTGAGCTCTTTTTCATGTCTGTGTAAGCTTGAAAGCTTGTCTCTTTCACCAACAGAAGTTGATCCAATGTCTTTCTACTATCCTGGGACCAACATGGCTACAACACTGTAAACAAACAACATGACTTATTTAACACATTAATAAATCACACATTGAACAAAAGGAAGCCAGAGAAAGGAGGAAACATTTTTCACAAGAGGGCTGCCCACAAATATCCAATCAACCTTACCCCAAACTTAGAAAGATTTCATTGACAATGTAAGCACTGCAAAAAGGAGAGGGAGGCAGCAACAATGAAGACTCTAATACTGAGCAAAATACCTTTAAATTCATATGCAGAATGCCAGTCATTCTAAACAATTATATATGTACTGCGAGTACAGAGTCTAATGCTCTCCAGTGTCGCATTTCAGAAATTATTTAGACTGATGGGAACAACTCTCCAGCCCATCTGATCTCATGTGATTAAACCAAAGATGATATTAGGAGAGGATTGTGTCCACATGGCCATGCTTTTTTTAAAAAAAAAGTGTTCTTCAGCTCTAATTTGGTACTAGGAATTCTTTTTCCCCTCACATCACTTCCCCTGTCTCTTTGGCCTCCAATCCAGCAAAACATTTATGTGAGCAGTTGATGCTTAAAGTTAAGCACATGCTTTGTTGGATCAGGGCCTTTTGTACTCAACTCTCTCTCAAGAAATTCTGATCACACAAAGATCTCTCTTCTGTATTTTCTATTTATTGCGACATCTTTCAAAAACTATGCTAATTTTACACAGATATTGACCCTGAACCTTGGTATGTTGATCTTTTCCTTTTTTGTTTGGACTCCTTCAAATGGGCTATCCAATCCTCATTAATCCCTGCATCTCCAGGGAATTTAGTACATCAGGAGTGTTATATTATTGTAACTTATTAAGATTTAAGAATTGTATTTATATAAATAACATTTCAGAAGGTTGAGATGCAATGTTAAGTCTGGAGTTATAGCAACATATTACTTATCTGACAGGTAAGCTAATATCTTAAAATTTGGACTTCACCTACTTTTCATTCTAACAAAGACAACACTTGCAAAAATAAACGTAGGGCAATTGTTGCCTGCTGAACATACACTGGCTATGAAATAAATTATAATGTTCAATGAATGAGTGGACTGAATGAAAAGTAATACAAGTTGTTTTTTAAAAAAGAAGAATGACATGCCAATGTAGAAAACTAATTCCCTCAAAAATGTGGTATTAGGGAAAGATCACAACCATATTTTTGCTTCCCTGTTTATACATTACTTCTCACCTGAAGAGTCCTTGTTTGAAGAGGTAGGCACTGACATGACCTCCACCTAGATACCTGATTTCACATCCTGGCCATATATCTTGAAGGCTGCGCACTCCAGTTCGTGGAACATACGCATCCTCCTTGGCTTGAACAACTATGATTAGACTTGGGTCAACTGGAACTGAGCAGAAAAAAAGAAAAAGATGAATTTTTCCAGTAAATGCTCACTTTTTCTGACTAAACTGTTTTCTACTCCCAAATCAGTATTCCTCAGTAACTTATGAAGCTACTGGAATGTGGCTAGTAGGAAAAGCGCACATGTGTTGGGGGGCATCTCTTGTTTTCATTGGCAAGTCTCCCTAATGATCAGGTTACACTTTGAGCTCTCTGCATGGAAAATGACGAGAAACTCTTTAAATGAAAGCTTAGGTCTCCAGCCATCCTTGGACACAGTGTATTAAGCTCAATGGAGCATATATTCCGTAGTGTAGTTGCAAAAATAAAAGATATATTACATAACTATATTTTGATCCTTGGTACTAGATCTCTGCTGGGAGAGTCAGTGAACAAAATTTTATTTATCCTTGACCTTCTGTGTTTGTTACAAGATGGTAAAAAAGTTAGAAGATTTTTTGAACTCTCATAAACCTCTCCTTTTGGGGTACTGCAAGTCAGGAATTCATTATCCAGGTAACATCAAATTTTGCAAACAGCTTCATTTCAGACAGACATAGCCCACCAATATGAGTTCAATATCACACGGGGGCGGGGGAGGGATAGAGGTAGAGGGGGTCTTTGCTTTGAGATGAGAGGTGAGCACAAAAATCAATTTTATAATGTAATTCTGCAGTAATTTTAATTATGGATAACTTCCATAGGTTCAGTGCTAATCAGGGGTGCTGGAACAATTTGTATGTTGGGGGTGCTGAGAGCCACTGAACCAAACTGTAAACCCTATATATAATGAAAACCATTTCAAGACAGGGGGTGCGGCAGCACCCCCATAACACCTAGTTCCAGCACCTATGGTGCTCATTATGGGGTAATCTGATGACAAACTGAGGGGATAAGATAATATTCAGCACAGCCATCTCTTGACCTCTAAAGAGGACCTGTGGTTTTATAACACTGGTAAACAGTGATATGCTAAACATATTTCAAAATGAACTTCTAGAAAAATCCAGGCATCCCTTTAAATATGTAATAAATCACATACCATGGGTATGCATGCTTGCATAGAGAAGTAGAGGATTAGAAAATATGTTTTCCCACTTAAAAAAGAGCCCCAGCAATACCTGAAGATGAGCTCATGTTACAGGCACTTGCTAGATGTAATCACACTTTGTGTAATATACCAATATACTTCTTAAGAGAAAAACAAAACAAATAAACACAAGTTGAAACCGGACTTAGAGACTTGGTGGAGCTCCTGAAGCATCCCTCTATGCATATTTCTAGATCCGGGGTGGGAAAACTACTGGATCTGGCCCACA